CGTGGTTCCTTGGAACTCGAGGAGGAGATTTAAACGGTTTTTGAATTACACTCTGATCAAAGTCGATGAAAATTTGCATACATTCTTACACCCTGACCGAAATCGATGGAAATTTACATAGATTCTTCCACACCTCAGAAATGAAGTTTCACGTAGAAAAACGTAAAAGTCGACGGTCTCCCAAGAGTTCCATTTGTTTTTCTGCATCTCAAATATGAAGTCAATAAAATGGTTTATCAACCACAGTCTTGAAAATCGATCAGTGAAAGAGAACTTGCGAATAATTAATTAGACGCATCGACTGAATAACAGAAAACCGATGAGATGAGATTCATCGATTCCGCGATGTTTTCGCAAACGTAGAAAATTCCGGGATTTACCCAATCGTCCAGGCTCTTCAACGATGGCTTCAGAAATCGATCAAAGAAGATCACCAATGAATTTAAATTCCCCTGCCATAAAATAAAATAAAATCCCGATGATCATGCATCATCGATTCCCTCATGTTCTCGCAAGTGGGGAAGAAAGTTATCACTTGATCAATCATCTGTGAAAATTGTGCAAACCAATTGAACCGAGGAACTTATCCGATCGACATTGAACCAAATTGGAATTTCTCTCGTGGATTCATCCATATTTCTGCGAACACGGTAGAAAGTCCTGATTTGACTTGTAATCGATGAATATCATGCCCGGGCAGTGAATTTCCCTCGAAGAGTCTGCGGAGCGACAACAAGGGTTAAAAGTTTCTTCATCTTTGTGTAAATCCCGGCTCAAAGGAAGCCGCCCTGAAGCCTTGTAACCGCGTCGCTAATAATTGAAAGCCGCTTCGCTTAGTGAGCCCCAAGCTCATTATTGTCCACGAACCGATCCGATCCAATCGATCGTTCCACGGAATGCACCTCGAGGAGAATTACAGAAATCGATCGACGGAGGTCTCCTCGAGGCGTCGCATTTATCACCTACAAATTAGAGTACGCCGGACGCAAATGATTCTTCGATTGGCTCCGCCATTTCTCTGCAAACCTGCGTTTTGATTAATGGCCGGCATTGAAATCCCCAAAATCGCAGAAGCCGAGATAGCTCGAATTGAACCCTGGTAGCAGAAAATATTTCTCCTATATTTCCTATATTTTTAACGATTATTGTACATTTTGTAAATATTTCAATTCGATTGGCTCCGGCATTTCTCTGCAAACCTGCGTTTTGATTAATGGTCGGCATTGAAATCCCCAAAATCGCAGAAGCCGAGATAGCTCGAACTGCACCCTAGTAGCAGAAAATATTTCTCCTATATTTTCTATATATTTAACGAATATCGTACATTTTGTTAATATTTCAATTCAATTGACTCCGGCATTTCTCTACAAACCTGCGTTTTGATTAATGGCCGGCATTGAAATCCCCAAAATCGCAGAAGCCGAGATAGCTCGAATTGCACCCTAGTAGCAGAAAATATTTCTCCTATATTTTCTATATATTTAACGAATATCGTACATTTTGTAAATATTTCAATTCGATTGGCTCCGGCATTTCTCTGCAAACCTGCGTTTTGATTAATGGTCGGCATTGAAATCCCCAAAATCGCAGAAGCCGAGATAGCTCGAACTGNATTTTCTATATATTTAACGAATATCGTACATTTTGTAAATATTACGATTCGATTGGCTCCGACATTTCTCTGCAAACCTGCGTTTTGATTAATTGCCGGCATTGAAATCCCCAAAATCGCAGAAGCCGGGAGCTCGAATTTATCAGATACAAATTACTGACCAACAGGAAACAGTTCCCATTTTCTCCGCCACTTTTCTGCAAAATTAATACTAGATTGATAATTAAAAATGTAGCGCCGCCATATTTTCTCACGATTATTCAATACAATTATTTTATTAAGCAGGAAACGATGCAACCAGAAAAGGGAAGATTCACCGAAAGAAAATCCATTCGCCATCCCGAAATGTAAGTACCAAAAGACTGTTAGCATATTATCCTACCAATAAATGGGTATTAAATAATGGAAATTATATTTTTCGATTAATTTCTCTCTACTAGAAGATTTAATAATCGCCTTTCTGGGCCGGAAACTCGATTCCGATCCGGCGGACTCTTACCAGAAGTGCAAGAAGAGGCCATCGGTTCTTCTTACTTTCTTTGTGTGTATAAAAATGTCCACTTGTTAAAAATAATAACCTTGAACGGCATCCTGCACTTTTTCAAACGCCACCGCAAAAAAGCGTTTTCTTCGACGACTTCATGCCGCCCTAAGAACAATTAACGCATACATTAACATCCTTTATACAACCCCCTAAACACTATTTTTATACTCCAAAGTAAACAAGATAATGGTAATAACATTATTTCTTCTTAACATGTTAATACAAATATCTGAACCGTAGTGTAGTAATAATGAAACGCAAAGATTATATAAAAATGCAAATTGGAGTAAAGCGTTTGTTTAAAGACAAGTAAAAGTGTAACTAGATTTTCGCAAAACCATGTGGTTTACAATTTAACAATAATTCCGATAATTACAGAAATGGTCTATTCTTTCATTCTCGTTAGAAAACTGAATTCCGGTTATTATATACCGTAATTTAATTCGATATAACGAAAAATATATAATAAATTACCTCATACATATATTTTTAGTCAGACCATTTTCGTAATTAACGCCCCTAGGGAACAATTACGATGAAAGTTTCTCGGCTTTATTTCCCGAAGCAATGGACAACAGTCCGCGGATTTTACACCGACTTTCCCGTGAGGTGAAAACCGAGATTCTAATGAAGTCTTGGATTCTGGTGTAATAATCAGACTTCAATGGAATGACGATTCAATGTAATTCCCATCTCGGCCGACTCGGGGAGTCTAACTTTCAAAGATTTATGCGGTGCACTGCCAAGTGTGCAGCTGTCGCCAAATTAATTTCGTCGAACATGACTCAAATGCTTCTCTGCTCCTCTTTGCACATCTAATTAGTGTTGGCTCCATCTGGTCGGTTATAACTGTTAATTACATCTTAAAAGCACAAGCTAGTCCTCAGTGCTCGGAGGGATTTCTTTTTATCGTATCTTAATGTATGGAAGTCCTGCGAAGTTCCTAGATACTTCATCGTAAATTTCATTAAGAAGACCGTGACCGAAAAGTGCGATCATCTTTATTACGAATTAACGGTCTGATCATTCGTTCAACTGTTAATTATATTTTTTAATACGAGATGGTCATTTGTATTTGTATTATATATGAATATATTATTTAAATATGTATATATTATTTAAATATCGCCCCGTAAATTACATTAAGAAGAGCGAGACCAAAAATTGCATACAAAGCGCGATAATTTTTATTACGAATTAACGGTCTGTTCATTTGTTTAACTGTTAATTATATTTTTTAATACGAGATGGTCATTCGTATTCGTATTATATACGAATATATTATTTAAATCGCTTCCCACGAATGAAGAAAAAAGACGTGGCAGCAGAATAGCACTATTTAATTCTAATAATTTCTCCCTGCTCGATATAGTTAATTACAAAGATAATTTTAAAATCTTAAAATCTCTTTAAACAATTAGCACGTGGTGAAAATCGATTTTAATTCGCCATTCTCGTTAGAGCTTGAAGCGCCCCTCTTCTGTGTCGAGTTCACGATTGCAATCCATATAAATAACAGAGGGTGTAATTCAGAGACAACACGCGAAGTCTTGCACTGCATTTGGGATTTAAAATTGCACGTTAACGTATGCAGCATGCACATCCCGAGGGCATGCTTAGCGGTACGTGTCTTACGTGCCAGCTGGTACGTATTATTTCAGTATCTACTAATTTTATGTAGCATAAGTGCGTACCAGTGATGGCGACTCCGCCATATTGGATTTACCTGCGTACATACAACTAGCTATGAATTATCCCTTACCCCTCTTGTTCCTCCGTCAAACGAGAAGCAAAACTGCATGTAATGAATTAATCCTGCAATTATTTCCAATGTATATACGCTAAACTCTCGCGGTACCATTTTTAAAATGTTATGAAAGGGTCATTCTATATACATATATATATATCAAAACGTCGAAATATTTATTAAACTTTTCATCCAAATTGAACGCACCGAATCATTTGAAACATTAACACGTGATGGAGGAATGAAAGTCTTGAAACTCGTAAAATTTCATTTCTCGATAAATAATTTTGTATTTGTCTCGGACAAGAAGCAAAAAAAAAATGGACCTCCATAATTCCGTGTTATGTTTCTCAGTTCGGAGAAAAGCTTTATAAATATTTTCACGTTTTGGTGTATAAAGAATGACCTTTCATAACATCTTAATGAACTGTACTTGGTAGAACAATTGCATAATTTTGTATGACCATTTCCTTCATTTTTAAGCGATTGTATATTTTTGTAATTTTCCTTTATTCTTCGACTTGTCGAAACAGTTTATAAGGTTTACTGTTTAAATCATAGTTTCTAAGGTATGTGCCTAAAAAAAGCTACCATTAAATGCGAACCATTTGTTAAGAGTGTAGTAACATTAACGTGAATACCATAAATGGAAGTACTAGAAGGATTAAATTTGAATTATATTATCGCGCATGTCTCTCTCGGAACTAAGGAAGAGAGAGAATAAACTCATTCTGCGCAGGTCCGTATAGTTCATATATTCATCGGTTATACGACATCGACCAATGGGAGAGCAGGATACATCGGAATCAACCAATCAGAAAGGCGCTCTACAGCGGCAGATGAATGGCAGAACAGAATGAAGCGTCTTTCCATCCCGGCCAAAAACTAACTCATGTTCAGGTAATATCTGGTAATATTGTTAAAGACCTTGAGAAACACTAAATGACCCAACCTATTTTTTTCTTCAAATTTCAGTGACTTTTTTCTGTATTTTCTGGTTGACTTTTCCCCATGAAAGAGTTGGTCATCATGCCTATGCTGTGGTATTATGTTTTTGCTAGGCTTCTCATTGGCTCTTCTTGACAGAGGTGCATATGGAGGCAAAAGTAGACCATTTTTAAATAGATGTACCATCAAGATGGCGGACAGCCGTTTAGTTGTCACAATTTCTGGCGTCGCCCTGTCCCTCCTTCTTTACGAAAATGCAAGAAGTGTCGGAGATCAGGTGAATAACTTTCGTGCATTTCTTCCAAATAAGAGTACTTCTAAACGCATGACTACTGGATTAAATGTATCCGTTGAGGTTATGTATTCTTGGCAACACCTTAATTCCTGCAGAATTAAGTAGCGTTTGATAATTGTAGGACGCTAATTCGCTTTGTCTTTTAGATGGGTTTCCTTTTGGGGGAAATACTCGTGTTCGTTACTAAAAAGTTCACTGACTCCGACAAGCAAGTCGAACATGTTAGAATACACATCGGTACGTATCTTTAAGTTTAACTTGATTGGTGCAGTTTAATTTTGTAGAATGATTCAGAAATAGGATTATTGTAACGTACATTGCATCGTTAGTTGAGTGTTTTATCTTTAAGTAAAATCTGGAGAAAACCTTTGATTTTTTACTGAACTACGATGCTATTATCAATGTTTATCGATGTTAAAGTGTCATAATAATCTGTTTACGAATTTATTCTTTAAGATATCGACTCCGTTGTTGCCTGCCCAATTGTGGACTTGATACAAGATTCTACTGGTAAAGTGAAAGAGGATACACTTAAAGACATCACCCGTGACAAAAGCAAACGAGTCGTCGGGTGGTTTCGATTTAGGCAAAATGCATCTCTAGTGCCTACGTTAAGGGACCGAATTTTACATAAACAATTTGCGTTACATTTTTCTAATGGCAACAACTCTAATGAGGAACTCTTTGTTGCGTGCTTTCTAAATTCCTCAGTTTCGAACAAGAAAGGCACGCATAAATATAGGCACGTGTTCCTGCGGCATAAAAAGGGGTTTGTAATATTATTTCTTACCATAATTACGAGACTATTTAAGAAGTCATTCCAATTTGATGACGAAAAATTAAGTTATTTTTAGAATTTTTGATTCAGTAAATATGTAACGAAGTAAATCTTTTTGGTGTTTATTAAGCTATTCTTAAATAATCCAAAAAAGTGCGGTAATAATTAAAAGAAAATTTGTTAGTAAAAGAATCTCTGACTTTTTTCAAAGTTATATAGTAGAATGACCTCTTAATAATGTATATAAGAATGTTCAGTTAAGTTAATGAATAATATTTTTTAGGGTATTTGAGCCAATACCTTTGAAAATAAATAATTTGGGTGCTGATGCCTCTCGACACGACGGCTCTGATTACAAACCTATACCACGGCGAGAATCAACGCAAGAACCCAATGCTTTTGACAAAATCATTGAATCGCTTAAGTAAATATTGTTTCTCAGACATCTAGTTTTCTCATTTCAAACGTATTCATAAGATGTTTGTTCTTTCAGACCGGATATTTCAAATATGTCCGGAGTTGAATCTGTGACCGCCATAGAGAGGGCAGCAGAGCGACACCTCGCTTCTTTAATTCCGCTGGTAAATGAAACCGACCGTGAAGTTTATGAACTTGAGAAACAAGTACAAGAGATGCGAGCTAAAATACTTGCTCGAAAACAAGTAAGTGCAAATGAACGCTTGCAAGGGAACAAACCTGAACGTGAAATTAGCTCGCAAATGGAACACGATAAAACAGCAGCGTTCAAAAACCAAAATGTATGGAAAACTGATATATTAAATACGGTATGCAAAGACATCACCAAACCAGAGAACGAGTTCTTACTGAAGGTAAATTTAAGTCATTAAACTTTTTAAGTAAATGCCTAATTACATCTGTTTCATACGATTGCAGAATGAGATAATGGTTACCAACAAGACGCGAAACATAATGACTGCAAGTGTGAAGAATATTAATCAAGAGAGAGCGAGGACTTTGAACCTGCGAAAAGATGCACCGAGTAGTACAAGCCAGGACCCTTTCGCAAACATGATGTCTGAACTGAAGATGGATATCGGTAAGTCAACGTCCAGCAAGTCTGACGTAACGACATTGGTACATCCTTGGGGTATCCAATACTACCCGTCAAGAATAAACTGAATGAATATTCTACCTCCTGTCAAGTACGAGGGAAAAAGTCCCAAAACCATACCTTTTCCTCGAAAGAAGACAAGTGTACCCGATATAAGCACTGAATCTTTTCTAAATGTTGCAGAGGAATCACCTGTGTCCACTCGTACCTATTCTCAAGTCACAAAAAAAGAACCAGACACCAGTCCCAACCCTTCGGCTTCGTCAATCGTCTGATCGAGGGAAACTCAAGGACTTGTCACGTATGAATCTTAATTTCTCTTTACATGTGCATAATTGTAAAGTCCTATTTTTGTTACTGATACCATTTTCTGTTGCTGATAAGATAGAATCCATTCTGTCACTATCCAATCGCTGACTTGGCCAGGCTCTTTCGTAGTGGCTTTAAACGTGTCGACGTTATTGTACATATTTCCTACTCAGTAATTATTAATAAAGATTTAGATAATATTGAATAATAATTTATTTAAGCTTATCGGTAGATTAAGAAACTCCCTGTATGCATTCCTAGAGAGCCTTGACATTTTTAAGTAATTGAACAGAAAAAAAAAACAATGAGATTAATAATTCGGTGTAGAAATCCTTTTAAAAAAAATCTTGAGGATGCTTAACGTACATAAACTAAAGACGCTCTTCTTATGTTTTCTTTTTCATCTGACATATTTTTAGGCACACTATCCGACAGTTGTCAAAATTAACCCATTTTGCGAAATCATCACTAAAATTTCCCATCGACTTTACAGAATTAAGTTTCAAAGCAAAGATAAATCATTCAGACGATCAGGAAAGTAACCGTTTAATTTTTCTATCGGACATTATTGTATATACATAATTTCTTCTGATCAAGATTCAAGTTTTCAATGTACGTTAAATCTAACTGTTTAATTCCTTTTGAAATATTAAGATGTATTAATTGCCATTGTAAATTTGGTAGCACTTTGCAGCTAAAATTATATATATTTATTATCCTTGTTTTAAAGTTCCCAGGAGAACGAATAATACAGTATTAGTTATTTTCTTGACTTTACAGTTCCATCCATCCGTACCCATACCATGACTAGCGTAGTCCCCGAAGGATGCGTGTGCTCCAATTTGCCCACATCGGAAGGAATCCCATCCAAGAGTCCTAAATCCTGCGAAAACTCGAACAGCAAAGTCGTTTCCGAAATTCTCACTAAAGGCACGCCGTATAAAGAGATCGAGGCCATTATCAACGACAATTACATGGTGATGAGAATCGAGAAAGTTCCCGTAGATAACGAGTGGAACCCTCCTTGCGATTGCGACGATAACCACCTAGGAAAACAAAATCGACGTGGGAGTAACGGTCCAATTCAGTTCAAGGATAACGTCATTTTTCAAAAAGCTGAATCCGCACAAATTCCGCCAGAGGAAGGCGGAACTGACTATAGAACTGTTACGACTTTTCCGGAATTCGTGATAGACGCGCCGACTCCTGGAAATGTCGGCGACGACGAAAATAAAGATAAGAAGGACAAACCACTTATAGAGAGAGAAGAGAATCCTAATATTTTCCTCTTAAGGATTAGAAAGAGATGTGAATACGGCGAGAGGAAGCACAGCATCGACCTCGAATTTCGTGCACCAAGGCCTTGGAAGATGGAACCAAATCCTGCGTAAAATGCAAATCAGGGACGAGCTGTACAACTTTAATTACAACCTTTCATTCCACCGAGGGAAATGTTGCGCTTTTGTTAATATTATTAAACATTTCAATTTCTTAAACGTTTATTTTTCGCTGCTGGTTCTAAAACGCTCGGTAACGCTCAAAAACGCTCTTGAAACGCTCGAAAACGCTCGAAACCGCTCTGAAAATAATCGAGATACTCTCGAAAACGTTAAAAAACGGTCGAAAAACGCTCGATAACGCTTGAAAACGCTCGAAACCGCTCTGAAAATAATCGAGAAACGCTCGAAAGCGCTCGATAACGGTCAATAACGCTCGAAAACTTTCGAAGACGTTCCAAAACGCCTAAAAACGCTCGACAACGCTATTAGGTAAATGTAATAGTCATGCGCGAAGTGACTCGGCTTATGTCCGCAGTTAGGTAAGCCTCGGGAGGATTTTTCGCATTTTTCGAGTCTCACGCATACTTGGCGAGTGTAGCGCCGAATGCACACATACTCAACGTCTCGACCCGTAGCTTGGCACTTGGCCGGTTGGGACGCGCGAAGATTTCTAGGAGCTATCGCACTCACACAGATTCGCTGCACGAGAGTTCCGTACGCGACACCGACGCGTGCCCCAAAGCTCCGCATCACGTCGACTTCGAGGCAACAATGTACTTAATAGTAGTAGATAAGTAGATAAAGTCAAATGGAGCGTCACGAGTGTTCTTCCCTTACCATCAAAAGCGAGCAGTATCGGTAAGCGAAGGTAAGCCACCACCGTCAACTGCCGCATGGTATTACCATCACGAGTACGTGAGCCGCCAACGGCGACGAGCTCCTATCAGAAATTCGTTGCGCCGCCCTTGGGGGCAAAAAAATGGGGAAAGCTAACGTACGAAACCAGAGGACAGCACAGGATGCGATCGCGCGATTCTGCCTGTAAGCAATCTCCCAAATCATCTCTGTGTTGGAAGCATCTTAAACAATGCTATCCATTTTCAGCCAATCAAACCGTTTCGCTGCAAATAGTAACGCAGCGATACAGTAAGTGATATTGCGGCTTCAAGATGGCGTTGGTGTTGTTTCGATTTCCGGCAGCCAGGAAAGTCGCCCCTCATCTAGGTACTCCCTATTAAACGGCGAAAATGGCGACGAGAGAGAGATTCGGGTGATCGATCAAAACTTTGGTCAGCTTTGGTTTAAGCGCTGGATACATATTTGCAATTAAACTGGGAATACATATGTACTATCGAGACGAGGTAAACGAGTGGGTTATGTGCAGCCGAGGCGAAGTAACGGCGCTCCCCTGAATCCTCGAATTGTACGTTTACACAAGCTTAAACTAAGCCACGAATTGAAACGTCTAGAGGGGAAATTATTTTCCCTGTGTACCGGAAGCGGAAATGGGACTGCATTAATGAGACTCTGTACATACATTCGCCCAATAATCAATAGAAGAGCGCATTTCTCGACGTGCATGCACGTTCGGTTCCAACCTGAATAAACCATGGAAAAAAGTTACAGGATTATTTCCTCGTCGAGAATGTTCTTTCTTTTTAACTTAATTTCCTGCTATCATGTATATAAGATATTTAAATATTCAGAATGTTTTTATGAAGCTGAAAAATTGTAATTCCACAATTCGTCTTGTAAGTAGTGGTAAACAACACTTATAATGTTTAGATCTTAAGGCCGAATAAAACGCTGGGATTCTGTTGCGGTCTTATTATTTTATATTTAAACAAACTCCTTTTTTGGGCATCCATTTAAATGCATTCATCATTTAGTATCATTATCGATACACATACTTATTTTAATATGCATTTTGTGCGCGCGTAAGTTTATAGGAAAAATGAGTAAATACTATTCCGCGGCATTTCCTTATTTCCGTAAATTCCAGAATAGAAATCCGAGTTTTGCAATAATCAGTGATGACAACGGGTAGATGATATTTAACTGCCTTCAGTTCGGATGTTAGTGACATCAAGTAGCGGGATAAATTGATCTAAATTTCCGATGATTTTCTGTGAGAACTTTTACCGCCCTACGTAAAGTATATAAATGTAAAGTATATTAACTTGGAAGTATTACCGGTCTATATATACCGAATTACGAGATAATCCGCTCTTTGATTCAAGTGGCTGATAAGTACGGAGCGAGATGGATGGCCCTTCAATAACCTCATGAATTATTCACGGCGGAATTAATTCGAGGAACTTTTCTGAATCCGAGGCTCCCCGAAAGAAATAGAGGGAATTAACATGAATCCCCAGAGTAAGCAAAATGGAAATCTTTCCATTAGCGGTTAACGCACTTGCCCCAATTTTCGCCACTTTATGGAAAAATCTCTCGCAAGTGTTTCTCACCACGATTGGGACTTTATTTAACCACTATTAATCGCAATTTTATATTTAACCACTATTAACCACAATTTTATATTTAACCACCATTAACCACAATTTTATATTTAACCACTTGGAATTTATTGATTTTTACTTTTTTTTACGACTCTTCATATCAACTTTTGAGGTATTATATATATTTAGATTTTTCATTAGAAATTAATGTTAATTATCTCCTTAATTGAAATACTATTTCGTACCCTATCCTTTATTTATAATCATCCATTTTATTGAGCTTCATCTCGTAGGGTTTGCTTTGAAAAAAATCTTCAATATTTCATGGGAGTTAAAAGGACCATTACGTAATCAGGATTCTGTTTTGCGTGCTTTATTTCGTTGTCTAATTTTCCAATTAAAAAGCTCATCCCGCCTTATAAATCCGCTTTCACAGAATCGAGGCCAGCCGATGTTTTATGCATTTTCTATTCATTTGCTGAAGATTTATAAATTGATCGGCCATTCTTTTCTCTCTGGCAAACGGATACTAGATGTACAACAAAGGACGCACCGCTAAACCAATTTCGAGTCGGCTTTTATCACACGCGAGCTTTTTCCAGAGGTCAAGTGCAAAATTACAAGGAGATATCGACAGATTTTGAAATTCATGTCGCTCAATCCGGACGTCATGTAGATGGATTTAAAAAATTAATCCCCTCCAGCTCGCGGATCTAATTAAAAACGAAACGCCGGACATTTTTCGAATTTCAGGATAATCTGATTACAGCTCGCTCGGGATTTTGTTAAATTCACCTCTTTTTGTTCTACATTTTGTATTTTCGATAAAGAAAGTGCCGTAGAATTTATTTAAACATTCTCTTGTACGGTTGAAATTCATATCACTCGATCCGAAAATTATGTAGATAGTTTACAAAAATTAATCTTCTTCAGTTCGCGAATTTAATTAAAAACGAAACGCCGGAAATTTTCCGAATTTCTAGATAATCTGATTATAGCTCATCCTGAATTTTGTTAAATTCATCAAACCCTTTTTTCATTCAACATTTTGTATTTCTGATAAAGAAAATGCGATATAATTTGATTAAACGTTCTCTTGTACTGTTAAAATTCATATCACTCGATCCGAAAATTATGTAGATAGTTTACAAAAATTAATCTTCTTCAGTTCGCGAATTTAATTAAAAACGAAACGCCGGAAATTTTCCGAATTTCAAGATAATCTGATTATAGCTCATCCTGAATTTTGTTAAATTCATCAAACCCTTTTTTCATTCAACATTATGTATTTCCGATAAAGAAAATGCGATATAATTTGATTAAACGTTCTCTTGTACTGTTAAAATTCATATCGCTCTGTACGAAAATTATGTAGATAGTTTACAAAAATTAATCCTCTCCAGTTCGAAAATCTAATTAAAACCGAGGCGCGGACATTTTTGAATTTCAAGACAATTTCGATAAAGCTCGCGTGGAATTTTCTAAAATTTACTAATCCCATTTTTAGTTCGGCATTGGATATTTTCGGTAAAAATGGCCTGCCTAGAAAAGTGCTACATAATTTATTTAAATAATCGCATGATAATAATGAAGAGTTGACGTACCTTAATCAAGTGCTTGAGGTGTAACTACTCTCGTAATTGTTAAATTATCCCCTTGGTTTTGTGTAGATTGCAATGGAGTGGAAACGCTGCCCCCGAAATCGTTTCAAGAAATAGCTGCGGAAGTTATCGGAAATCAATTAACGATTCGAATGGAGAGGAAAAAAAACAAAGGGAAAAGAGGTCAGGACCAATGGGAGCCGCCATGTGCTTGCGATATAGTGGAAATTAAAAGACCATCTACAAAGGAAGGGCCAAAAATAGTCAACGGCGGGAACAACAATCAAATTTTGTTCAAGGTCTACTCAAGAACTCGTATTGGTGTGAAGGAAGATCCTAATTACAAACCGCAAACAATTACATACAAGGTGAAAAACGCCTCTTCATCGATTTTCAAAGTTCGCCTTGGAAGGAAAACAAACTCCACCGTGAAAGAAATATAAAAAATCCTCTATTTAATAATAAATTAAACGCAACAACGATAATGGCGAAATTTCGATAAAGTGTTGCTTAGCATGTGATATAAACAATTATTAACGGGGAGTAAATAGATTAAGTTGTTACAAGAGTATTATCAAATCTTATCAAGTCCTTTTTGTTGCACTGTTTAATGTGTATCAACTTTTCATTTCAACAAATTTATGAACTTCTAATGATAACGAGTCAAATAGATTTGCCGAAGTCGAGAGTGAGAAAAGTCGAGGATTGTTTGTAATTTGCCGTAAATTTAATGGTTTTTATTTTGTTGATAATAGTCAGTTAAGATCTATTCGACAGAAGAGTTTCTTTTTTTTCTTTCGAGGAAGTGACTTTTTTCCCTCAACATACGCAAGGAATGAATAAATAAACTGATAACAGCGCTATAGTAAAGAGTGACAAGACTATTGTATTGGAAAAGAAATATATACGTGAATTATTGAAAATAATATTTGGAATTTTCAGGTCGGCGAATGCAAAGGGTGTAATGATAAGGACCGATGCAGGACCTTTATCGTGCATCCTCAATTTGGTCGACCAGGGGTTCAAGAAATTCATAGCGATCATATCGAAGGCAGTAATTGCAACATTCTTCTCTTAAAGGTGAAAAAGAAGGACGAGAACCCTGAACAAAAAATGCAGAACATCGAGCTGGAGTTAAGAACACCGAAAATGCCGTGTATGCACACCTCAACACCAAATCGAAATTAAACACAACGTAGAGCTGATAAGGAAACATTAGAAAGAGAATTAAAAAAAAAAACAAAAATAAAAAAAACTGGAAATGTTTACCTGGTTGGGATCGAACACGCGACCTCGGAGGGCGCAACACGAGAATTAATAATGTAACGTGTAACAATAATTAAACATAAATGTTCGTCAATTGCTGACAGAAAACACGTTTCCAACGATTTTTAAAGTAAATGTAATAAAAAAGTGTTAATAATAATATTTACGTTAGAAAAGGACCCAAGGCTCGTTTTCGGTAGTTCGAAACACCATGACATTCAGTACTTACCCCAGCCGTATTCTTCACCGTGACGCTTTTTCGTGTCGCGAGTTAGGCTTACCCGGGAAAATATGTTTCACTTAAAAATAATCCAGGAAAATAGGCAGAGTTCGTTTCGACTTCCGAGTGAAGGACACCCCGACTTCTCTCCCTTATCATTCCTTTATTAAAGTTGACAAACATTTCTATGAAAGTGGGACATACCCGTCGACCCTTACGGAAAGGAAACTGCAATACGAAGATCCTTAACCGTCCGACTGCCAAGCCCCGTTGGCGTACGGGCGAGATTCCCGCGCACGGGGAAGCGATAATGGACCGAACGGCGGACGCGTACCTACGCCATTCGCAGCGAAGAGTTAAAACGAGCCTACCGAAGAGGAGGATCCCAGGACGGTCGAAGAGCCTCCAGGACGATTTCCAGTTCCACCGAAGATCACAGAAAACTCTCATCAGCCGGATGTGACACCGTCTCTATTGACTCGGCCTTATGGTTATTCAATCGGTTCTCGATCTCGCCGATCTTAATGACATAGTTGGTCGTCGGGTCTCCGTATTGACTCTGATAGTACTCCTCCCTCATCATGTGGTTCAGATTGCTACACCGGAAGTAGAGGATCTCCCTGAAGGGCTTGCGGAAGTCCTTGTTAAGCGTCGCGTAAATGATGGGGTTCAAGAGGCTGTTGCAGTAGCCCAGCCAGAGAAATAGACTAGACAGAGACTGAGGAATAGCGTTTGCGTCGTGCAGAAATGGCCTCACGAGGGCCAGGACGAAAAATGGGAGCCAGCAGATCGTGAATGCACTCATGATGATGCCCAGTGTTGTGCTGGCCTTTCTTTCCTTCACCAGCTGGAATCTGAGTCTCTTTTGATGGGGCGAATAGGACGCGCTGCTGGTGCTCTTCTGGTGCCTCTGGATTATCGTTGGCCCCGTTGTTGGTGTCACTGTTGGGATCGAAGGCGATATGCTCTTCTCGCTCTTCTGCAGCATCGGGCACTGGGATTCATTGCTTTTTCGGGGCTCGCTGCGAAAGCATCGCATTCCTCTTCCGGTGCACTGGAACAAATTAGGTGAAAGGGCCCCAGTTAGCCGGGAGTGCCGTACTCGTAATCTCTGGAATCCGGGATAACGTCGTTTCTTGGCCCGGGGGTGCTTCGGAGAGGGAAATGTCCTCGACAAAACTTGTTCCCCGTTTCATCGGGGACAAGTTTTGTCTGACATGGTTTTTCATTCGGCGGGCTCGTTTAGCAGAAATTTCAGTTCACTGGGAAAACGCGAAATCGGGAGTGTTGAGCTCTTAGATCTTTGGGATCCTGAGAAATGTTTCAAATTAATGTTTAATGGAAATTTCGGCCGATGGGGGACTTCGCAGAAGAAAATATCTAGGATGAAACTTGTTCCTGGTGAAACAGAGAGGAACTTTTGTTTGAAACAGTTTCTGACTAGACGGGCCTTGAAATCAGAAATTCCAGTTCAAGTAAACATACGCTCGCGTGGCCAGCATAGGTGATCTAAGAAAACGCCGTTTCCTGACTAAGATCTCCCTGATATGGAAAAACGTTTCAGACAAAAGTTGCAGTAAACACGCCAAGGGACAACTTTCGTATAAGACAATTCCTTCCTAGATAACCCCAAGGGATGAGAAACGTAACCTACCGCCATCCGATCAATATCCACGACTGAAAAAGAATCCCAATCCCGAGCCGCAATCACCCGGTATGGAAAATCGTGGCCATAAAAGCAATAGCCCATGAAATAAGAAACAATTTTCATATCTAACATTTCTCGGTAGGATGACCCTGGGGAATGGAAACCGTGAGGTACGAGCGCGAGGTCAGCCCTTCCTAGCCGCGATCCGAGAAAAACTCCCGCCCCGACTTACGATCAACCGATACGGAAAAATGCTTCGGATAAAAGCGATAGCGGGTGAAATAAGGAACAACTTTTCTATCTGGAGTTTCTCTGTAGGACGGCTCGCGGGGCGGAAAATTTAATGTCCCGATGCCCGGTGTCGGTATCTATATGACGCGCCGCGGTAGGAATCGATAGGGAGGAAGGAAACCCCGTGGAATTTTTATCCGCTCCTTTCGGGGCTTTTTAGTGGGGCAGGCCATGGACATCCGTGGAGATCGATCTGACGTACTATCGTCGACGAACTCGAACATCGGTGTTTCTCGGTAAAGGATTCGCAATGAGCTGCTTGTATGGTCGAGGCAGTGGAACGATGCACGTTGGCCGCAGTTTGCTCCGATAAGTCGGCTTCCAGATAACAATGCGTCTCCAGGTGACTTCGGGCTCGCTTTTCCTCCAAAACTATTTTTCTAGCTGCAAGGAATATTTTGTAGTACACCTGTAATGTATACGAGTCAGATGTAGGCTGGTTGTACACCTCTATACATGGAAATACAAGGCTACTCAATAAGAATAGGTAATGGGGTGACAGGTGTAAACATTAACAAATTCCCGACCGGAAAATTTTTTTCCGTTTCAAATACCGAGTACCGGGGAAATTAATAAAATTCTGAAACTGGTTGCCGCAAACTTGTGTCTTGTATCGTCGTGGACGTTAATTCACGTCAGCGGCAACCAGGAATAAAATTTGAAAAGACGTGAATTCACGTCAGCGGCATCTGGGAATAAAATTTGAAAAGACGTGAATTCACGTCAGCGGCATCCGGGAATAAAATTTGAAAAGACGTGAATTCACGTCAGCGGTCGCGAATGTGTTAAGGCGACATGAAAGGCGCTGAGAAATTTAATCCAGGTCGATAAATTGAAATCTATCTGTACCCTTTTCTGGGGGTAACGCCATTTCGAATACTCAAGTGAGAACATAAACTGTAACGCGAAAATATTTCTCGGAGCTGGGCGACTCGAAATTATCGGATTTCCTTCCGTACGGAGTAATACTCCGGAAAAATCGATCGGGAAACCTCGTTCGCCCAGTTTCGAGGGATTCGAGTTTCCGCGATATATTCAAAGGCAATGTCGATGGAAACTATCGACCCCTCGAAATTTCATAACTGCGATTTTCCGCTCGTTTTCCGCACAAGTGACGCGCGATTCCGAAAATCTCGGCTCTGTAAATCCGACTGTCAAGTCACCTGTAATTACAGGTGTACTCGGTAAATGGTACCGTTTTGTCATACAGAATGTCAAATAATAATTTTTCGTTAAAGTACTGTTTAAATGCGCTTAAATGCAAAATTTCATAATTGCGATTTTCCGTATAAGCGACGCGCAATTCCGAAAATCTCGGCTCTGTAAATCCGACTGTCAAGTTACTTGTAATTACAGGTGTACTCGGTAAACAGTACCGTCTTGTCATACAGAATGTCAAGTAACAATTTTTCGTTAAAGTACTGTTTAAATGCGCTCTGAATGCATGCAAACTACCGGATTTGCATTTCGAGGGGCGTATAATTTCATTCCGTACGTGCGTTCAGCAAAACCTCGAGTGTATGTACTTTAATTAAACGCTCGTGAGGATTCTTGAAAACGTCCGGAAGTCTTTAAGCGAAATCGAAAATTCGGAATTTCTACTTGCTAGTGAGAAACAAACGCCTCTTCGTATTCAAGCTTTTAACAATTAGTGAATTATTTAAAAAAAAGTATACATGTTTATGTACATTTTGAGTACATTTTAGGCCCTTGTCTACAGGGTGGAGAGGTCCGAGAAATATGCAAAGTAGGCGAGGGTGGCGGTAGAGTCGCGCGCCAAGTACATACCGCGTGAAAGCGCGTCGCGTATGAAAGGCTCCAAGGTAACAATACTCACCTCGATCATGACCACCAGAGGTATGTAGAAACTTCCGAGGGTTGCGTAAATTTGGTACGCAAAGTTCTGACACACCGCGCAATGAGGTGATCCTGTCTCCGAGTACGTGTGCTCATTACCCAGTATAATGAGTGGGGGTAAACTAATGCAAGCCGCCCCAAACCATACCAGAGCGACATAAATAATCATCCGTCGTGGCGTCCTTTTCACTCCGTACTCTAGTGGTTTCGTGATGGCGTGATATCTAAATAAAATATCATTATTAAAACTGTCCAGGAATTTTGTCAATGTGGTTTTGTGATAACGTGACATCTAGATAAAATGCCATTATTATAACTGTCCAGGAATTTTTTCAATGTAGTTTCGGGATGGCATGATATCTAAATAAAATACCATTATTAAAACTGTCCAGGAATTTTGTCAATGTGGTTTTGGGATAACGTGACATCTAGATAAAATGCCATTATTATAACTGTCCAGGAATTTTTTCAATGTAGTTTCGGGATGGCATGATATCTAAATAAAATGCTATTATTAAAACTGTCCAGGAATTTTGTTAATGTGGTTTTGGGATAACGTGACATCTAGATAAAATGCCATTATTATAACTGTCCAGGAATTTTTTCAATGTAGTTTCGGGATGGCATGATATCTAAATAAAATGCTATTATTAAAACTGTCCAGGATTTTTGTTAATGTGGTTTTGGGATAACGTGACATCTAGATAAAATTCCATTATTAAAACTGTCCAGGAATTTTGTCAACGTGGTTTCGTGATATCTAAATAAAATGCGATTATTAAAACAGTCCATGAATTTTTTATAAATTTTTCCTTTTTTCTACACGGCATTGATACAGGTCAGCTGAATAATTAATGATAATGCATTTGGGACGCTTTTGCTATTTAGTTACATAAACGATTATTTACCCTAAATCCATTATAAAATATCGATTCAGAGTGAATAGAAAATACCCCTGCAAAAACTTCTTTCCATAAAACCTGAAAGCATCGTTTGCATAAAACCGTACCAGAAAAAGATTAAAAACGTGTCCTGAATTTTTTATAAGTTTCTCCTTTTTTTTTTTAAGTCTGAAATTGTCCCATGAATGAAAATAGTGATTAAGAGTGAAACCAAACATCCCCATAGTACATCTTTTGCAAGAGATCATTTAATAAACAAGTCAGAAATATGTTCTGAATTTATTATAAATTGTTTACGTTGTTTTACCAGTCAACTAGTCGGTAAATCGAGTCCTGCTTACATCACTCGGAAATACAAATTGGCCGGTGTCGTTGTATTGATTTATTTCAGTTACGGGGTTGTTTCTCGGTTTACGTCAAGACCGAATAAAACTCCGAGGTGAAAAGGAAAAATGATCGAACACGGCCAAAATCACTAGGGCCAACAAAGTGGCAACAAAATGGTCACCTGCGAATTTCCAGGAGGTAAGTGCCAAGTTTCCTACCGGAAAAAACTTTTGCGGGTCCCTCGAGGTGGAGTTTCGCATTTTATGCTTTTTATTTCTACCTTCGCTCCGTTTTCTTTTCTCCTTTTTTCCCCTCAACTTCGGATCTCTTATTCAGTCAATGGGTTAGCGATTCAAACGTCATCGGAATTACGGCTATCGGTGAATTAATAATAAAGGAGAGCAATCCGCATGATCCGCAATCCCCCTTTTCAGAGGAAGACTCGGCCCCGTTTTTTCATTTAATTTTCATGTCGACAAACCATCAGATTCATGGGAATGAATTTAATGCGCCCTTTCCCCTGGACCGGAAAAATCGACTGGACCAACAGAATCGATCTCGGCTTAATTGAGATTGGCAAATCCTAGCGAATCTCCTCGAAACAAAAACAAAATCCTCCCCGCTAAACAAATCGATCCCAATGTCGCTCCCTGTACATACTACTATTACGACAAATAACGTTTAGATTGGCCGACTCGATTTTATTAAACTTTGATGCGGCTTTATTCCTCGGGAAATTCGAAGAAACCTTTTTTCCACAGATTTTCCACAAATGTGTTATAGAGATTTGATCTCGCATTATTATTTTCCAAAATTCTTGGTCGAATCATTTTTTCTTTTTAAAGGAATTTTTTAGCAATGAGTTACCGACTTTGCAGTTTTTCGGTATTTTTCCAAATTTCTGGAAATTATTCACAAGCGAGTGCTTGAGTTTGCAGGATGATTTCCTGGGCATGAAAATAATTGTTTAACAGGTGTATGAAAAACTTAATAACCACTGGGACATTTGTTATCGATTTTCTAAAGGGCACTTTTACCGACCTTACAGATTTTCAATGCTTTTCTAAACCGGCGGGTCATGTAATGGGTGTAATTATAAGGAAAGTGTAATATTTAAACATCGACTTACCTATCTACGGAAATCATGCAGAGATTTAGAATACTGGCTGTACAACTAAGGACGTCGAAGCTAACCCACAGATCGCAAACGATTGGCCCGAATGGCCAATTTCCCAAAATCTCGTAGAAGAGAGCCATTGGCATGACTAACATGGCGACACAAAGATCGCTGACTGCAAGACTGACGAGAAGGTAATTGCAGGGCCTTCGTAATTTCCTTACGAGGCATACCGCTACGCAGACCAAAATATTACCAACTATAGTCCCGACGATTATGGTACCCAGCAATACAGCGAGTAGTATGGCCTGGAACAAAAAATGCACCGATGAAAAATTAATATGATTTGGGAAATGCGAAAAGAAATTTCCCCTGGCATGGACTTCATGAGGAAATGCTTCAATTTAATATAATATAATTTTTAAGATTATTTATACCCAGCAATACAGCGAGTAGTATGGCCTGGAACAAAAAATGCACCGATGAAAAATTAATACGATTTTGGAAATGCAAAAAGAAATTTCCCCTGGCATGGACTTCATGAGGAAATGCTTCAATTTAATATAATATAATTTTTAAGATTATTTATACCCAGCAATACAGCGAGTAGAAGGCCTGGAACAAGAAATGCACCGATGAACAATTAATACGATTCATAAAACGGAAAAATAAATATTCCCTGGCATGGACTTCACGAACTAGAGAAGAAGTACAATCTTCAATTCTTTTTTAAACCGTGATTTCCCACGTAATAATGATTAATAATGAATTAATCTCGCTTTAAATATTTTCCAATAATTTTGCACGATATCCGAGTGCCATTGAAATAAAAGGCATATTCTGTTATCGTACTCCAAATTCCCTTTTTCAGTCCTTTGATAATTTTCATCGTTATCGGTTAATTTCTCGAGTATAAAATTCCTATTCAGCAACAAAGGTGATCTTTGATAAAAAGTTCCTACTAAAGAAACGAGTGAAAAGTGTACTTGGCTCGAAGCTCTACCGAGTACTTTGATAAAGACCCACAATTTCCCGTATCCAGATCGCAATTATCATAGAACTTCTGCATTTCGGAATTATACCAAGACATTTTCCTCGGTAGAAATATCTTTGGTGGAGAAAAAGATTAATAGAAGGGTAAGTACATAAGGTATGATGTACTCCAGCCCGAAGGTATGTACTTCGACATGCCGAAGCCTGGAAACCTCAAGCTGTGGCTTTCCCATTAATGCCTCGGAAAAGGAACAGAGATGAGAGTTTCCACATGACGCAGGTCCCTCGATGTTTAAGTAATATCTAAATGGAAATCTCGAAGATGATAATGCGTAGGGGCTCTGATCTGGATTGCCCAGGAGGCCGCACAAAGGCATTGTAACTAGTGCACCAGCTTTACATGCAGAAGGTAAGTACCCTGTAACTAGACTCGGTCGCAGGATGATGAGATCCAGGAAAACTCAGTGATTCGACGGGGTTTCTGGAAATGCATTACTCTGGGAATTACTTCCTCAATTATGAGCCTTGTCGCTCCTCTTTGCGTTTGAGTACTTGCAAGGTCTTCATGTAATATCGGGGGTGAGATAAAATTGTGTAATGTGCTCGTAATGTAACTTGTAACATAAAATATGAATTCTGCGATCGTGAGGCATGTTCAGAAATTTAAAGCTTATCGTGATAAGCCATTTAGTAATTATTACGAGGCAATATTAGATAATGTATACGATTATGAAAAATATTTTTAACTTGTGAACTAATTGTACTTTGCAAGTATACATCTATACCGTAGAAATAAACAATGTTAAGTCCAGCTTTTACCAACATGCAGTTATTAGTTTTTGTCTCATTGATTCTGTTTTACGATGAAAAATGGAGCAAAGTTCGAAAAAATGGACTCACGATTCTTTACCTCCACTATGTATATGTATATGTATGGGATGATGGGATTCCGGAAAACTGAGTGACTGAATGAAAATTTATGTCCCCTGTAACCAGATCCTGTGACAGGATGATGAGATCCGGGAAAAATGAATGATTCGACCGAGTACCTAGGGAAACATGTTACTTCGTTATTACCGACAAGCCCTCATTGCATTCCGTGCTTATGGGATCTCTATGTAATATAAGAGACGAGATAAAATAGGATAATGAGATATTTTTTATCAAGACGTAGTGAATTACGATTTTGAAGACCCCTAGGGATCCATTGACTCTGTAACTAGACTCTGTTTTATGGTGATGAGGTCCCAGAAAACTGAGAAATTCGATGGGGTTCCCGAAAATTCAGTACTCCAAAATTATCCTGAATTATCAGATCACGAATGCCTGATAAAATATTAATCTCATCCTTTCCCTGCATTTCACACATTTATCTGCACCACTTACAAAGTTTATACGTAATCCAAGATGTAGAATAAAATGTAATAATTATAAAGTGGGACGAAGGACGAAATATTTCTGCTAATTGAGGATTTATCGCGATCAACTATCTGCTCTTAACCCTTTGGCTATTAAGAGCGCCTAAAGGCGCGCGACGTTTGGTCCAATATTGCCTGCACGGTCAGAGGAATTTCGCCCATATGTCGATATGACTCCGTGTTCAAAGGACTAATACAGAATTTATATACAATATGTAGGATAAAATTAGAATGATTAGGAAGGATGAATCATAATATGTTTTTGTAGATCGGGGATTTATCAAGATTGGTCATGGCCAATTTCTGGGGAGGACATTTTCGCCTTTATTATTGGATTTCGGTTTTGTCAACCCCTCGGAAACCCAAATCCACGGAGGCCGGTGGTCCTGGTAAAACTTATGGGACCCGATTAATCCTATGTGATCCCACAATTAGGAATTTGTGGCAGGATGCCTGCTGGACCTGTTAAAACTTACGAGCCTGTATTAATCCTAAGTGATCCCACAATCAGAAATTCGTACTCTATGTCCCCTGGATCTTGCATCGATATACATTGTAAACGTTTTGCAAATATTTCAAATATTTACAAAATGTACGATATTCGTTAAATATATAGGAAATATATGACAAATATTTTGTGCTACTAGGGTTATATTTACGTTGAAGTCTTTTACAGTCCGCGTCGATAATTGTACGAACTAAAGCGTTCCATATGTCATTTCGGTAAAGTAATGATGAAAAGATCGATATAAAACTGTTGATAATCCCGGGAATTCATTATTCTAACGACTATTAAGGACCGACGTCGCCATCTGTGACGTTTAGCTGCAACTAAATTTTTCCTCCAAAGACCTGCCTTACCCCCGAGACAAGTCTTGCAATCGTTGCCGAAAGTATTTCCCATATTTTCCCATACTTACTCTGTAATATTCTATTTCTATGGTATTCTAAATTGTCCGAGCTAGGTCCTGAAACTCTTGATTTTTTTATTCTAAGCCCCCAAGAAGCGTAAAACATCGAAAACGTGCACGGGCCACGCCATGTTGGTTCTACTCCATGATAAGTAAATCAATTTTTCATGAGAAATTAAATTTCATGAGTTTCAGGACTTACTGCAGGGCCTCCATATTCACTTGGTAATGTCTCAAACGAATCGGTACTCTTTCGTATCACCTTGATTAAATATTGATATTATTAAATAATTGTTTAGTGGATTCACCTGAGTAGCCGTGTAGGGGGAATTCTTCCCAGGAAATCCAACCACTGGCTCGTTAAAATTTCCATAAGCCGTAGATGTCAAGTTATCAATCCAGATGCTTTCCGTTGCATTATTTTCTTCCTCCATACGATTGAACCCAATCGTTTGGGTCATCCGAAACGACTATCTCTGTCTTAAAAACCACCTCTTGGGGATTGTCTTCTTTATGTCATGTTGATAACGTCTCTCCACGTAACGAGCTTCAGCTTATCCGTGTCTGCCTTGTGGCTTCTGGAACAAAAAAAAAAATCACAAAATTGTCGAAAAACCGTTAAGACAATTAATCAACAATTGCCATATCAAATCGCGCTGTGTATATTCATTTTACAGGTGTAACTTCTTTTATCCCTTTGGCTACTAAGAGCGCCGGACGTTTGGTCCAATATTGCCTGCACGGTCAGAGGAATCTCGCCCATATGTCGAACTGGCTCCGTGTTCAAAGGGTTAAATGTAATAAATAATTAAATTCAGATTTTCACGCCGAGAAAAGAACAGTTCCTTCAAGGAAGATAAATAATAACTCCTCATAAATAAAGGCAAATATTCACAATTACGAGGAAAAAAATCACGTGCAATTTATTCCAATTTATTTCGGGTTAATAATTATTCTTTAAGAGTTTACAAAACGTTTCGTCGGTACTGTTCAAAGGAATATTTCAGGAGTTCAATGAAATCTCTTTTCCTCGGCATTCTTACGTGGATCGTTGAGAATGATAATTATTGATACGGGAAGAAAATGTGGATTCGTTTCTTTTTTTTTATTTTTGTTCACTTACGTTGAATCTCCAAAATAAAGGAAAAAGACCAGCTCTCCAGTTCCATCTCGCATGTCTTTGCACCGCTGATAAACTCCTGATTGTCAATACATTTCTGCCAGAAATATCCGTAGCTGTCAATCCAACGTGTGGGGATCACTCGAATCTTATCAGTAAACTCTGCTTTCCTCCGCCTTGGGGGTGACATATCTGTTTAAAGGGGAAACTGTATTTTAAAATGCATGACACTTTTGACGTCGCAAGTGGGGGTAAAAAAAAAACAGAAGGAAAACATGTACATGTGCCTCGAGTCACATCTATATTTCCAGGGGGGACAATATTTTAAAATTCATGAAAATTCATGGCTGCAAGGAAAAAATCTCTTTCGGGACGGGTTTATTTAAGGTGATGTGAAACACATCGAGGAACTTGATCGACGTCGATAAAGAAGATTTTTCTAAATGCCTACGTTGCCGACTTTCGTTTTTATATTGATAGCTGGGTCGAATTATATTGGGTATTGCACCAAATGGCATACTCCACCTGTCGTTTTCGTACAATAATTATAAAGAGTTTTTGTTGAAAAATTCAAATTTTCAGTGTGTCAGGACAATTCTTAGATGAGTTTGGTCCAATAGGCTTAAAAAAAAGTGTTAAATAAAATATTTTGTCAAATGGAGGTCGCGAGCATTCATTTTGAGAAAATGGTGAAAGGAATGTCGGTCGGTCTAATTGCGATAATTGCGGCTTTTCTGAGCGGTAATGTCGACGTGTAAAGCTTGAGGCAGAGCTTTTACTTGAGCATAATTGCATTAAAATCCTATGTGTCATCATTAATAATAAAGTTATGGATCGATGACGTACTAAAGTGGCGATGGAACAAATCGGGATGGATTTGATGTTATTGATTCGATATCAAATTGCACATCTCGCAGGATTTCTGCTTTAATCGGGATTGAAATACGGTAAACATTTCCTACGAATCGTTATAACAAATGTGGAAGAAAAAAAAATATATAAATCACGGCGCAAGAGATATAAAATCTGTATGTATTTTCTGAAGGAAGGAAATGATCATTAATGATTTATTAAAGATTTTTGTGGAATATGGAAGGTTAGAACTATTCGTTCAAAAAATGGGGAATTAATCGCTCGGCGATGCAATTGCGATAATTGAAGCATTCGTGGGCGCTAATATCGACGTGTTAAGCTTCATGCAGGACTTTGGCCTGATTTTAACTGCGTTAAAATCCTGCATGTCATCATTAATAACAAAGTTATGGAACGGTGACGTACAGAAGTGGCGATGGAACAAATCGGGACTGATTTGATGCGATTGAATCGGTATCGAGTAGCACGTCTCGCAGGATTTGTGCTTTTAACGAAACCAGAAATGCGATAAATACCTCCTACACACACGATAAACACATCAAATTGTGTAGAAAATGCACCTAAACTGCTGCGATAATTAATTTAAGATTACAAAAAAATTTTGCCGAAAGAAAGCCTAATTTAACATTTTTTTCTAAGCATTTAAAAAAGGTATACATACCTAAAATATAGATAAGTCACAAGTATTCGTTTTGAAATTAATATCTACCCAGTTTACAGAATTTCCACATTTAATCGATCTTGAAAAACGATAAACATTTCCTTATTAACGTTGCGTAATTAACGAGATTATATTGACTATATAAATATCCTCTACGGAGTTTTAATTTCATTAATTGTTCAAAAAGCTCATGAAAAGTGGAGGAAAGGAATTTTGCAACTTTCATTATTAAGGGACGAAAATTCATTAATAATCCGCTTCGACGATCACCGCAATCCTGAATGTTAATTTAGACACAGGCAGATTTAAACGGTATTTTAGCTCTGCGGTGGAATAATATATCGCAATTAATAACAATGATATCGCAAAATAACACGAGTGACGATGCCGCAGATTCGAGTCGACATTAAATTGCGTGTTCCACCGTTTATGTAATTAATCAAGCCCACCGGTAAAATATGGCATATTTTCGAAAATTGGGACCCATTCTTTTTATTCAATGTACTAATTTAAATGATCCATGAAATTACTGATAAACATTTTGGACAGTCGACATAATTGGCAATGTTTAAATTTATCCGATTTATTTCGACTACTTGTCCTTAATTCCCATCGCCATTTTATTAATAAAATGGCGGATGAACATGTTAACGTTAAAGGCAGCCCAACTTGTCTTGCTCACTCTCCCTGGAAAATGCACATCGTAAGTGCGGCAAAAAGGGCAACAAAATAAACGGGAGCGGCAAAACGAATCGCAAAGAAACGAGCAAAAGTTATATATTTACTAACACATGCATCTAGAGGCGCAGCTACTATGTTGGGATGCCCTAGATTTCATAAACAGACCTTGGCTTAAGTTCCAAAGCAACTTTCCTCCCTTGTGTGCTCAATCTTTATGAAAATCCCATTTGCATGCCCGGCGAAATTATTTTAACAATCATTTCATCAGAGCCCCGGCACAAATTCAACGTTTCAAATATTACAAAACTGAATTTCTTGCTTGTATCTCACGATATTCTGAAGACTAAAGGTGCTTACTTGCTTATTTCAACGAAATCGAACGTTATTTTAATAAATAAATGATCATTTAACATATTTTACAGTGATTTAAACGCGTCCCATGAAACGCGTCGTGCCGCCATCTTGGATTTTCTATACGAATGACGCGCAAGAGTTTCCCATAATTATTTACGTTAAATCACAGAATGTTAACAAACCACGTGAAAGTGCAAATGTTAATAATGTAGGTTTTTAAAGATATTACGGGTTTCCACTGTTTCACAAAGTTGTTACGAAAAGTTGTATGTTTTGCGAGAGTTTACCACGAAATATGTAAATTTCACTACGCGTACTCATATAATTCCTTCTTCTACATTACGGCGAGGTTATTTTAGCAATTTTATCTCGATTCACCCACAGATTTAGCGTTCTAAATGTTAAACGATATGTTCTTTATCAGGCGGTCTTATCGGCACTTCAGTTTCCCGCGACATTTTTAGGTTAGGGCGAGAAACCGTGTATAACGCGCTTATATGTACTAGATGGAAGGTTTGAAAGGTATAGGAACTTTTAATCAGATATTTATGATATTCTTAACGATTCTATAACCATCCCATGCGAGGTAAATCCCGCCGCCATCTTGGATCCATCAAACGGAGGACGCGCCAGGATTTCCGACAATTATTAGCATTAACCTCGAGTAACAAAGAGAAACTGCCACCGTCAGTAAACTCCGGTTTTACAGACATTGCACTTTCTCACTGTTTTACGGACTTAATATAAGAAATTGCAAGCTCGCGAGGCTTTATTACGTCCGAAATGTATATACCCCGCGACAGGTATAACGCCATCTTGTATTTCTCAGCTGGAAAGAAGGAATAAGAAAAATCCTTTCGGGCAAAGTTTTACTCGGTTTCTTGCGTTAGTACCGAGGAATAGTGAGGGACTGCAGTGCCGATAAACTTCCCAGAGAAAAAGTCAATTCGGAGGCGCCTCTAAATTCTGGGAATGGCAGGAAAATCGCATTTTCGAATGCGACATTCTCGCGTCTCGCAATCCCGCTCCGACCTCGCACGATACGAAGTCCGAGGACCCTCCTTGATCTTGCACGATTCTCGAAAAGGGCATGAAACAGAAGCTCTTTCGAGCACGTAAAGAGCTCCGAGAATGGAATTCTTTTCCAGCACTTAGGTGGCGTAAAAAGCGACGCATAAGAATAGTCTAAGAGCACTTGAGAGCTCGCGTCGGGCTTTTTGGAACTCCAACTCCGAGACGCGGCCACTTTTATTATTCGACTCTTGGCAAAAAAACCTTAATAATAAAAATAGGCACCTTTATATATTTCGATCCAACGATACAAGCATAAATGTTACATTTTCAATGAGAACATAAAATTACTTGATACATGTAAGAACGCTCCAAGAGCATTTGAGGTTATGTCAGGCTTTCTACGCCTCCGAGACTCATCACGTTTTCAGAAGTGCTATTTTGATATCTGCACTAGACCTTACCTAAAATGATAAATAGTAGAAATAATAACCATGTTATTTTTTAATTTAAGAAAATCCCTCTTAAGTACTTATTCTATTTACTCGTAGATATAAGAATGCCCTCTAATGCTAAAACTCTGTAACGGGAAATGTAAAAAAATTCCGGCTTAGAAACGCGAGATTTTTTAACAGCATGTTAACTCTCCTCGAAATTATTAGTTACGGCTTTATTCTTCGCAAGTACTCGAATGCACTTTATATTTCGTCACGTAAGAACTCTTTAATGGGCATTTAAAACTCCCTAGGTGTTGAAAAAGCCGCTTTAGTAACGCAAGCTTTCTTTTTAAGATCGTTCTCTGCTATCTAGGTCTCGGTACCTGGTAGACATTTTTAATAAATCGCCAACTCTTATATTCCCACGGAACTTCTCGGGAAATAATGCTCTTGGAGGTATTTCGGCTTTGGGAGAATTTATTTATCGCCGGAAAGGAGATATATATATATAAATATATACCGCACAAGTATTACCTCCACTCTCCCAGAAATTCGGATCCAGATAATTCAGAAGCACGTGTTTAATTTATCCGGGAAAAATTCTCGTGCAGAATGTTTGTTAAAAATGGGTGGACGGGCAGCTTCTCAAATTTGGACAGGAAATTGAAAACGAGCGTGGGTTTTACGATGTTACCTTTTTCTTTTTTCTTTTTTTTTCACCGGGAATTTAACTTCATCCGCACTAATTGGAAAATCTGCGAGCGATCTCGCTTCCGCCATTGTTGAGAAAAGAACGATAAATAACCATTGAAATTCTTTCGCGAAGTGTTCTATTGTCTGTAAAATATCCCACATCTATCCATCAGTAATTTTACGAAAAATTTCTACAACGCCATTAAGCCATTTAAGTATTCCATTAAATTTCATTGACTTCATTAACATCATTAAAGGAAAATGCCTACGAAATATGTATTAAAAAAGTGAAACGTCAGGAATATCAAAAGTTAAGTCAGGTTTTAAATGCAACACGACATTTATACTATTTCATTAAATTTCATAAATTCCAATTAAAATTATTACAGAAAAAGTTCCTATCAAACGAATGTCCAAATCCTGATCTTATTATTATCATCATCATCATCATTATAATTATTATTGCTGTTGTTATTGTTATTATTATCATTATTATTATTATTGGTATTATGTAACTAGGTCCGAAAAATAAAATCCTTTTATCTGTGAAAGTGAAGAAGTCAGGGGGATAAAGTAGACCAACACCCCGCTGACATTTTGGTGTCATCTTCCGGGTAATCATCCAATCAGGTAAAAGCATCCACAGCCTTATCTCAAGCAGCATAATTCGCCTTAATCCTCCGATATGTGAGCTAATATCAGAGAGAGATATCCGAGGTACGCGAAACGCGTAATACCGTACACGATGGGTACATTACAGGATCCTAAGCATATCAGGGATCCGTAAAGGGAGGACAAAAGCAATTACATAATGTACGTCTCGTCACACGAGGCATGTAGAACATAAGGGCGAATAATTCGCACTCTATTTGCGGACAAGTATCGCGTGCGAGGCCTCGAGCTCGCTCGAAGATCGCAAAACGTTATCAGGAGGTAATCAGAGGTTCGGCATTCGTGCACCCTAGTGATTACATTTTGTCAGTTAAAATCGATCTCGGTAAATGTCTGTCAAATGTACTGCCGAGGTGGAGCTCGTAATTCAGTGAAAATGATTTTCTCCTTTGAAAGTCTGATCGCGTTTGATCTCATAATCTGAAAAAAAAAATTTCTTTGAACCGAAGAAATATTTTGTTAAATCGAGGAATAATTATTTGTCTTATAAAATGGGAATAAATTGGATGGGACTTTTCTTCGAAGTTCTTGATGGTTTATTTGAGAATGTTTCAGGTCAAATGAGTATTTCTTGAATTAAGGAAATTTTTCTTTGGGTCAATGATGTTGCTTCTTTTTTCTTCTTTTTTTTTCGGTGTATGATAAATTGCAATGTAAGGCGGTAATAAGTGATTGGCGTCCGTAAAATTATGATATATTATGTTTTGGACGTTTTCAACGATTTCCAGACTGATTTGTTATTTCATTTCGATTATTAAAATCCATTATTTCCTGAATTAATTGCCCCTTTACGCATTTCTCCATAATCATGCAAAGTACGCGGTGTGGTTATGACAACACAATTATTCATAATTCGAAACAATGATACCAAATGTCATACTTCTGTCAAATGTAAGAAAATAAGTACAGAGTAACTTAGATCATTGACTTTTCTTTTTTATCCCCCGTTTAATTGCACACCCAGGTAACAGAATTAAGTACTTCTGTCACAGACATGAAAACATGACTTAATCCATTCAGTCATAACATTTTGCATGTATCGAAGTCCTTTTCATGACGCACGTCATGTGTCATTGACTTCGAATCGGTTAATCCCCCGAAACACGGTCCAATACGAGAGACATACATCCAGAGTACGCGATGCGTGTAATACCGTACACGATGGGTGCATTACAGGATCCGAAGCGTGTCAGGAATCCGTAAAGGGAGGACAAAGCCAATTACATAATATACATCTCGTACCACAAGTGTCAATATAGAACATAAGGGCGAATAATTCGAATTCTGCGGAAAAGTCTCGCGGGAACAAATTACTTTCTAGGTGAGACGAATTACTTGCAACCATTGAAGCACTTTTTATTAAAGAAATTTTTGCATAATATATATCTCGCCATATAAGCGTCTATATAGGACATAGAAGCGAATAATTCGAATTCTGCGGAAAAGTCTCGCGGGAACAAATTACTTTCTAGGTGAGATGAATTACTTGCAACCATTGAAGCACTTTTTATTAAAGGAATTTCCTGGATCCAGCAAAATTAATTTCCCAAGTATGGAAAATATTACCGAAGGTTGTAGCACGTTTTGGATACAATGTTGTTATATATTTCAAATACAAATTTGACTTTGTTTAGGATCCGATATAGAACATGATTATTCGCAAATAAATGATGTTTCACATTTTGACATCTTCAGTGGAACTGCATAAGACCAGTTAAAAGCAGCCTTTTACCTTTGTGGCAATGACGCTTTGGAATGAAACTAATGGTATAATGTACATTTCATCATATCCAACCTGTACAGAACGTAAAGGCGAATAATTCGCGCTCTATTTGCAGACAAGTCTCGCGTGCATTGCGGAAACTCGAAGATCAGAGAGCGTTATCAACAGGTACAGCTGTCGGCAGAGATATTTGACGTGCAATCAGCTGATTGAAAAATTTCAAACAAACTCGGTCAAGTCGTCTTTAGAAACGTAATCTTTGGGTTAAAAATGAAATCATCTGACAAAGCGTTTTGAATAAGACGTCATTATTGTAATAATGAAATTATTCAACAGAGCGATATCAATGGATGCTCTTAACGTGCGATCAGCTGATTGAAAAATTTCAAACAAAGTCGGTTAAGTCGTCTTTAGAAACGTAATCTTTGAGTTAAAAATGAAATCATCTGACAAAGCGTTTTGAATAAGACGTCATCATTGTAATAATGAAAAAATTCAACAGAGCGATATCAATGGATGCTCTTAACGCGCGATCAGCTGACTAAAAAATTTCAAGTAAAGTCGATCAAGTCGTCTTTAGAAACGTAATCTTTTGGTTAAAAATGAAATCATCTGACAAAGCGTTTTGAATAAGACGTCATTATTGTAATAATGAAATTATTCAACAGAGCGATATCAATGGATACTCTTAACGCGCGATCAGCTGATTAAGCAATACCAACAATATCGTCTTCGTAACAATGAAATTATGCAAGAAGCCGTTATCATTAGCTATTATTAACGTGCAATCAAACTTTCAGACATTTCGGTGCAATACCCTTAAAAAAAGTGTCTAATTAGAGGGGGGTCCCACTTCACCTTAAAAGCAGCCATTACCTCCATGGGGACGGTATTTCAAGAATAAAGCCATGCTATCGCGTACATCCCGTGACATGCGACCCGTACAGAAGGTAAAGGAGGAATAATTCGCACTCTATTTGCGGAGAAGCCTCGCGTGCATTGCAGGAACTCGAAGATCACATAGCGTTATCAGGAGGTTCAGCTTTCAGCCGGGCATTTATCTACCCTACTTTAAGCCAGGCAGGGAGATTAAAGAAGCACCTAGCTAAATAGCGCCGTAAAAAGGGATATTATCAACAGGCGAAAATCGGTAGGCGGAGGATCCGGGGAAAGTAATTCTCAGGTTAATTAACCTTACCTTTTGCAGGAGATAAAGGCAGGGCTCTCCGGCTCGTCCTGGTAAAAATTGATCGCCCTGGCGATACTCGGCCCCGACTCGGTCCGGGAAATGAAAATTATTCACCGTACACGGTAAATAATGCCACGAGTGCCCCACTCTATGAGCACATGGGATCCTCCCGCACTTATCTAATTTATCTCCTCCACCCCGAGGTCAGTCCGCTCCGTCCTACCATGCTTAATTATCCCGCAATGTCCATTTCCAATATTTCTATTTTTCCTTCCTCCTTTATTCTTGATATTTTCCCCCCTATATTTCCGGAAACCCCGCAGGGCTTGAAAGGCTCCTCGAGGGGATTCCCTCCTCGCTTCGGTCCATCTCGATTCCTCTAATTAATTAGTTAATTATTTCTTTCCGGTTAGTCCTGGACGGGGGGCGGTTCTTAAGATCGTCTTTTAGTGGCTCCATGGTGTTCTTATGGGGTGCAGCTTTCGATGACTCCGGGAAAATCATCCCCTGCCTCAGGGGTAGTTAATCCTACTGATCGGCGCAATGTCCATCGAGTTTATCCCGAGCGACGTTCGTCGACGGTTTTAATCCTGGAAATTTCAATTTGCTAATTCGAAGCCGCTGGGGGAATTAAAATTGAATTTAACCCTCCCCGAAGGTGGGCTCTACATTTTTATTTCCCCCCTTCTTTTTATTAACATGCCTCGGTTTTTTTATATCGTGGGAAAATGGACTGGCTGCTTATTAATCATGTTTAGAGGTAAAGGGGTTTTATTAATTCTGGGCTGGATTAACTATCAATACTGTAGGCACTTTTCGCCATTTTCTGGTAATTTAATGTTCATTTCGAGCACTTTTGCAATCGAGGCGATTTGTATATAATGAAAATATTGAAAGCGTTAATTGTTACCACTTTTAGGATTTTTGCAATGGTCATTTTATAATGGGCTCAGGGAAGGAGTGTAACCATTTTCACCGTGCAAATTTGCATTGTCCCGAGTCTGTCGGTAAGTCGCCGGTTAAATTGTAATTAAATTTTCCTTGAGTTTGGATTTTACACTATTTCACTTCATTATACCTCCAGGAAGTGACGGAAATGGCGAAGGGCGCGCAAATTAAAGCGTCGACACGTCTAGGAATTTGGCAGGAAATTTTGCGACATTCCATGCCTAATTGTTCCCTAAATCCGAGATTACTTATGAATTCATTACACGATACCTCAAAACTTTTATATCATTCTCATATACCGCGCATGAATATACATAAAACCAATTCAGTAATAAAAAATTGTTAAAAAGGACAAAAGAAAGTGAAGACTCCTCTTCGTAGGTGGGTTTATCATCGTTTATCATTACTTACCGAAATAATTACACGGTTTTTTCGAACCTTCGAGCCATTCTGAGGATTCATTAATTTACATAAAATTCCTCCCGGCGAAGAATTGTTGACATAAAACTAAAAACAATATGAATCCTCCATAATTCCCGCGCCATTTGTCATCGTTTATCGTTACTTTGAAAATAATTCCAAGGTTTTTTCCAACCATCAAGCTATTCTCAGCGTTCATTAATTTACATAAAACTCGACGCGGAAGAACTGTTAAGATAAAGAAAAAAAAAGGAATCTAAAAGCACCGCGAATCCTCTTTATTCCTCGCGTCGTTTATCAGCGCTCCCCGTCCGGCCAAATCCGCCATATTTATTCCCTTCCCCAGCACGTACCTTATTCACGTGCATTCAAAAAGGCTTTTAATTAAGACTTTTCCCGGATTCCACATCGGTATTATCCGAGATGCCTTAACGAGTCGCTTTCGAGAACCTGAAAGCAGCATTTCTCACGAAGAGCCCAATTACTTCAATTATTTCATGGGCGTCATGACCTTCCTTATAGCCTCCATATTCACGTTGTAAAGTTTGAAATGAATCGCTACACCCAATTCGGCAAAAAGTTTCATAAATAAGACCTTTTCAACGTCACTTTCACATCGCCTTAAGGTAATGTGAAATAGGTTTTGTTCATGAAATTTCTCTCCGAACTGGGTGTACTGTATCGTTATAAACTTTACGATGTGAACATAAAAATTAGAAAGACGGTCCCTACACGACTGAAATTTCAATTTTTCGAAAACTTGTTTATAGACATTTAACAATTTTTTTATAAAAAATGAAATTTCATGGGCGTCATGACCTTCCTTATAGCCTCCATATTCACGTTGTAAAGTTTGAAATAAATCGGTACACCCAGTTCGGCGAAAAGTTTCATAAACGAGAGATTTTTCACATTCGCATCGGCTTAACAAAAGACATTTCGATAGTCGGAAATAATTCATGTATCCCAGGATATAATTTTTGAATAAGTGCACATCAGACAGAGTATATCAGAATAGTTTCTTATTCATTTCAGGACCGTCAGTGAAATTTTATTTCCCTCCCCAGGAATAATGTTTAGCTCTCTGGCGAGGTCTCGTTACGTCAGGTGAATCATTAAGCTCGGAAGAAAATCTCGTTCAAAGGGCCATGCAACGTGCGAAACGAGTGCGTCTCTTTACCTCGAGAGCCCGCCGTTTGTTCACCTCCAGTCGGTATAAAATTCACCTTGCCGTTCGTTTCACCTTTCCGAGCACGAGTCTCTCTTTCAGCGCCATTAAAAAGCCGGATTTAAATTTAAATTAAATTGTCCGCACGCCAAGTCGGCATTATCCGGCCGGGCCGGCGGAAGAGGGTCTTCGGGGCTCGCGGCGCGCGATGAATTATTTAAAAAAAGAAAATACCCGAACACCGTGGAAAATGATTTCCGAACTTTTTTCCGATAATTCTGAGCCCTCCTCCCGTAGGTGTTCCCCGCCCCGCGGGTCCTTCAAGGCGAGGGGAAATATCGAAATAACGCGGAAAACCCCCGCCCCAAGTACCGCCCGTTCGGTGTCTTTCCCCGATACCAATTTTAATCTGCGTCGCTAATTTTCCCTCGGATCCAATTTTCCCTCCCGTCGGCTAAAAGGACGGGCTTTGGGCCCAATTAAATTAATTTTATGCCGCGGAAGAGCCGCATCCAGGAGGCCGTAAAAAAGAATCCGCGCACTCGGAGCGCCGCCCCACCCCCGCCGCTTACGGGCTCGGTTATTTATTTTTTATTCATTAAGGCCGATATCCTGGGGAACGGAAAAAATTATCCCACGGCATTCATACCCTGAAGCGTTGCCCAGAATTTTTACGACGACCCGCGAGTCCCGGAACACCCCAGAAAAAAAATCCAACATGGATACGCGTTACTTGAAACATGAGGAGATAATGGTTCATTTTAGTTCTTCAAACGTATTGCACATTTTGTTCATGAAACCTTTTGTACCAAATGGTAATATCGTTTTGTATAAGTGGTAAGTCGCGGGTTAAGAGATGAGAGTGTAATAAAATGAGAGATTATATTTTTTAACTTATTAACGTAATAAAAATACATTTTTTACTTCACGACTATCATCGGACACTTCATTTAGTATCAAAAAACCCATGGAGTTAATATTATATAAATATTATAGAGATAATATTCTAAACGTTTTGCAAATATTTCAAACGTCTGGTAAATATTTACAAACTGTAGGATATTCGTTAAATATATAGAAATATATAGGACAATTATTTTTGTGCTACTAGGGAAATAACGCTTATTCGGAATCTTCGGTCGATATCAATTTTAATTTGCGGCGCTAATTCCTCCCGGAATTCAATTTTCCCTCGCATTTGCTAAAAGGCCGGGCTTTGGGTTCAATTAGATTAATTTAATGCCGCCAAAGAGCGCCGTCCGGTAAGAAATAAAATGGCGGACCTGGGAGAGCCGTAATTTATTTACTTTTCATCAGCCCAAGCAAGGGAATGATTTCGAGGTCTCTGCGTTAATTGCCGTTAATTTCCTCCTCTTTTCTTGGAAATCTTAGGGAAACGAGGACCACTCAAAGGGACTTGCGATTTGTCAAACGAATCGTATGTTTACTCTTGGTTTGTGCTAATTATGATCCGCTTTTTCGTCCGCGGTGCTGATTTCCCATTCCTTCTAATTTCCTCCTCTAATCTCTTTCGCTAAAAAGTCGGCGTTAAATTTCAATTAAACTTTCCGTACGCATCGTCAATTTTGAAGAAGATTGTTAGGAGCTCCGAGCGACGCTTTGCGTAACGAGCGTCTCTGGTGGAGGTTCTTAATTATTTTTTTTACAAACGGTAGAGACGTCCCAAATGAAGGTACATTTACGTAAGAGTTCGATTTTGTAATAACTGTACCCCTGTAATAATTTTACGTAACTAACAACCCTGGCGAAATTAATTGTTTTTTAAAAATGGCAGAAGTGTCTACAAATGAAGGTACGTAAGAGTTTGATTTTTTAATTAACAAACCTTCCTGGTCGACGCAGATTTTTTATTCCCTTTTGCTTATTTCATAATTGAATTATATTTCAAATGACTCATACAAGGCGAACGTGTTTTCGTTAGTTTAATTTTGTTATTAATTATTCCACGTTCAGAAGATAACACAAATAAACACTCCAGAGCGAGTACGTATAACGCCAATAACGATAAAAACACTTCTTCAGGAAGCCGGAGCTATATTTTCCAATATTTTTTTATTACAGCCACCGTAAATGAAAAAACATGTTCCTCGTCACCTGCACTTTATGCATCGGGTAATGCATGTGCATATATCGCTGATAACAATAAACACACTTCCTCAAGAACTCCCGGCTCCATTTTCCTGTATTTTTTACTGCACATCCCTATTGCAAACGAGAAACAAATTCCTCGTCGTACGCATTATTTGCATAAACCAGTATATGATAACAAAACGTTGTAAACGATAAAAACATAAAAACCAATCCTTCATTTTTATTACACCCTCTCCTGGTATTGAAATCGAAGGATTAATTTCCTCGCCTCGATAAACACTGATAACAGAAAATGAGCATTTATTGAAAAACTGATTGCTACATTCTTCCTCAATTTTCATAAAAAAAAAAAAATGTGTAACGTTAATAACAATAATTTTTTTTTCCCTCCAATCGCTTCATTTTCCTCCATTTTTATTACACCCTTTCCTGGTATTAAAATCGAAGGATTAATTCCCTCGCCATCGACGTTGTACTCATCGGGTAATACTGATAACAGAAAATGGACGTTTTCTGTAAAAACTCGATGCTTCCATTTCCTTCGATTTTCATTAACGCCCTCCCCGGGTATTGTAAACGAAAAAAACAATTTACCCGTAATCCACATTACCTATATGTACGCATCGACCGATGCATACAACGCTACCAATAAAAACATTTCTTCAAGAACTTCAGCTCCATTTTTCCCCATTTTTATTGCACTCTTTCCTGACATCGCAAAGGGGGAAAAAAAAACATTTCCTCGTCATCGATGTTCCATGCATGCAACGCCATTAATAAAAACCCGTCTTTAATCCTTTGAACGCGGAGCCATTTCGACATATGGGCGAAATTCGTCTGACCGTGCAGGCAATATTGGACCAAACGTCGGGCGCTCTTAGTAGCCAAAGGGTTAAGAATTGAAAGCCCGATTTTGCCCCTCTTTGTTGCGTCCCCTCCGGT